TTTTATGAGGATGAAGATGATGAAGATACTTTCATCTCAGCCTTCAGGATGCTGGAACCTCAGAACCGTCTGGGTTCCAGCATCACATCTGACATCTGTTGCTGCCAAGCGCACCTGAACGCAGCACGGATTCATTAGAGCTCGTGAGCAGAATAAACAGCCCCGKGGCTGTAGGATCCCGGCACTTACCTACGGGAGGGGGTGTGGGGGGTGGGATCACATCAGATACCGGAGCCAGCTGAGCTTGTAGACCCGAGGTTCTGGTCTTGGGAGTCCCGATCCTCTCCTCTGGGTTCAAAACTAAGAACAGCTGCAGCAGGTCTCAGCTGTCACTCTACCTCCACCCACGTGATACATGCGTCAAGCGGTCCCAATGACGTCACCAGACCGTTTCATTCATACATCCCCCCCCACCACCCATTCAGCGCGTGCAGCAGCTGAATGGATTCAATTTGTCCCATTTTAAAAAACAAGTTTTTGCTTTAACAGACACATCTATGTGTGTCTCCCTAAGAACTTAAGTAGTCATTTTAGCTGTAAAAACATAGACCTATAATAAAAATATATAATTTTACTCCAATATCACATAATCCACAAAGCCTAGATTTTTAAAAGCAATAAAAAGAAACAAAACAGAAATTTTATTCTGGTTTTTGCACAAATTGAGCCATGTGTTTAAGTAGTTGAATCCACTCCAAAGCCATCATGGAGTTCCTCAAGGAAACCAGGCTGAATATTTGAAATGTCATGTGACATTTTGCTTTGTTTTAGGGGATAAACCAAATGCAGACCTCAGAACTAGTGAGACTAGTCCCGTTCACCTGTTAACACTGTCTGATAACAGTAAAAACAAAACAGATTTAGACTTCGTCACATGGAGGTTTTCTTATAGCTCAGCAAGCTGTTTGCTTTTACTGAGATCCTTTTCAAAGTTCTAGTTCCAGAGCTCAAAGGTGAACACAGAAAGATGTTCTGTGTCCTTAAAAAGTATCTTTAGGTCCAATTTGTTTCCCCTCCTGGTTTGCGCAGGGTTGTGGGGATGATGGTTTCACAGGTTTGGGAGTAAATCAGGACTCATGTTGTTCTGGAAGGATTCTAGTATCAAATGTAAAGCCATCTGTCCCAACAACTGAAGCTGAACTCGTAAAGTTTTTCTTTTTTTAGTTTTCGCTGTCATTTTCATGAATGAACACTTCCTTGTATCTGAGGCAGGAAACACAGCCTTATATGGTGT